TGAATATTCAGATATTCATCATTAATTGGGCCTGAATATCCAGAGACCAGAAAGTGCTATTGGGAATAATTAACAACTAATGAACCTTCCAGCATCAAGCCCTCCTTGTATCTCGACCTCCATCTTGACAATCCGACAGCCTTGTTAGCCGACATAAAACATTACATTTAGTGTCGGATTATCGAGTCACGACTGTATACAGCCTATAGGTCTTATAAATATTTTCATTTTAGTGTTTTTTAAATGTTAAACATGCCTCTCATTTCCACCAGCGTGTTTTGGGGTTCAAAGGGTTAATGCCTCCTAGTTCACCTCATTTTCCTTCAACTCTTACTGTTATCTTGTCTTGGTATTTAAGTCGGCCTCCTCTCCCCGACCACGCTTCAGACCATTAACCGCGAGCCGAGCCCTTTGTCAGCCATACATTTCCCAGCATCCTGTGGGAGATGGCGCTGTCAGCTACATCCTGCTCCATTTCCCGTCCCTGTCGCCATCCTCCCTTCACCTCAGACCCTTGACAGCGCACTCAGACCTCAGAGGAAAAAGAATAAAACAAAAAACAAAAAAAAAACGCTCTTAATCGTACAGCTGCCTCATCCAATCGCCTCCCTCGGACCGGCTCGACGCGATTGTTCCCTCGTCCAGCCCGCAGGATGTGACACGTCTCTCACCGTCGTTTCCTGCCGGATTGGAAAAGTAGAGCAGCAGTGATGAATTTGTCTGCGGAAAGGGTTAGCCGAAATGTTTCCGCATGCCTCGCAGGTTATGATTAAGGCAAACAATGTAAACACCGGTGTTGAAATTTGTTCACACACATAATTACCTTTAAACATAGGACAGAGTGGCCGTTGTACAGAAGACGACCTAAAATGATACGTAAGAGAAAGAAAGACGGAGGAACGTCAACCACATGTTATCCTCAAGCCTGAGAGGAGATGAGAACATGGAGGAGAGCAGGAGCTGGCTGAGAGAAGTTGAAGAAAAGATTGTGGGAGACTTTAAGAGCGTTGACGAGGTGAAGAAAGTTGCATTTGAGGCGTTCGAGTGAAGTTTATGGAGCGAAAAACCAGCTCTGATCTGTGTTGCGCTGCAGAGTTTCCCCCCAATTCACCAAACCGCCCAATGCCCGTCCCTTCAGGCTCGATTGCTCGGCAGCTTAACCCCACAGAGCGCCCCCGTTTCAAGAAGTGTGCGCTGGCCTGCGTCTGCGCCGATGACCCCCCGAGTTGATAGCTCAAAGGGGCCCGCCGCATCGCCCCGGCAACAGCAGCCCTGCGGCAGATAGCGACCGCATCACCGTAGCAACCCCCGGGGTTCGGGGGTCACCGTTTTAGGGGCTCCCTTGAATGCGCCACTCCCCCTTTTCTCTTCATGACAGGTTTTCGATTGGCCGGCGTGCGTGTGGGCTCTTCACGCGTGCAGCGAGGCGGCGCAGAGGTTGCCGACGGTGACACATGCGTGGGAGGGTCAGTGTGTAAAAGGCTTTGCATTGATGGCAGCAGCAGCAAAATAGTGCTTTCGGCGCTTTGTGGGCGCCAAAGTTTGGGCCACGTTTGCAGCGGCGTAGTTGTCAGATAGCATCATGCCTGTTAAAGCGATTAGGATTTGGCCCCGGAAGCAAAGGAGGAACCCCTACGCAGGTGGGTGAGTTTTTTTGGTGGGAAAAAGTGTGTCAAGGTGGATTTTTTTTACCTCCACAGATTCAGACAAGTTCTGTTTTAAAGCAACGCGGTTTAAATGGAGGCTGGTGTGAACTCGGCGTGATACAGGAAGAAGCTGAGATAGAAAAATAAATGTGTGAACAATGTGAAAGGAGGAGGGGAGACGAAGCCAAAGCTGGTAGTAATGAGCAGAGAAGGCTGTGAGATGCTTTGTTCAGGCTGAAGAAAACGGGACTCTGAGGGTGAATGGAAGGTGATGTAGAGACGGATGGACTCGTAGTTACAGGTGAAGTTGTCTTGTTTTCTCTGTAATTCACCTGATGTTTAATGGTGTAACAGGTAGACTGACTGTCCTGCTTTGATGCAACCTGGTGTCTTATTGCTGATGACTGAGGGACACGACCTGGCATGTTGTCTTTATTCAGTGTTTGAGGGTTTTAGTAGCCAGATTGGACTGCTGTCACAATAACACACATATCATCTACCTTTTAAATCATTTAACCTGCATTAGTGTATTATTAATGAGGGGTTTTATCTTTAGAAACACATGACACACTACACCTGCCTCCAGGAGAAAAAGCTGAAACACATGTGGAGCTTTAATAGGTTTAAATGGTGCACATATTAGTAGCCGACTGGCTCTTTATGGGTCATAAGAGACTCTCTTGTTTTGAATTAAAATTATTGTACAACTACGAGGCCATTAACTTGGAGTTTTTTCTTCTCCAAACGAATCCTTGCTTTTGATAAGCAGGAATATGTTTCTACCGGCGCTGATTTTGCTGCCTCTGAACAGAAACAGGATTTGTGCATCTTAATGAACCTCCAGTTGTTTCAAGGTGCAGCCCGTCACTGAGGATCAGATCGATCTGGTGATTGCAGCAGCTTTAGAGACAACCTCAGAGCAAAGTGTGTGTTTATCAGGGTCAGACTGGGAAAGATAATCTGAAGTAGAACGACTTAATATGCAGTTACATGAACACGATTAACACGATTGTTTTGGTACATAAGAGCTGAACTAATTCATTTAACTGAAATGCATTTAACTCACATTTTTTAAGGCGGCAGGAGAACGTACAGCCGTCCTCAGATGTATTCATACCCTCCAATTAAAGAAGGAAAAAACAGCTGTCAGTGAAATACGTTGAAATAAAATATATTATATAAATAAAAAAAAAAAAAAACCCAAAAACAATAAAACTGGCCCAACGCCCAACAACAAAAGGCCCCTAAGTGGCACAGGAAAGATTGATTGGTTTTTTAAAATTATCCTTTCAAACAAAAATCAAAAGCAACATCTTATTTCACTAAATTATAATTTAGCAAATTTTTATTTATTATTACTTTTTTCAGTTTCTAGTTATTTGAGTGACTAGGGTGAATTTTACCTTTTCTTTAATGGAAGTGGATGAATACATCTGAGGACGACTGTAGGTTTCTAAGCCGAATAAACTTAAATAATAAACAAAAAACTGAACACGTAACCTTTTTGAACCTTTCACAAGTAATACACATAATCGTACATGTTGTATTTTTGTTAGACCAAATGTAAAACAAGCATTTTTAAGCTCTCAGGCGGATCTTTGACGAACAGAGCAGCAACGACTGACCGCTCATGTTTGGTGCAGCAGCTGGAGGAGGTTTTACTGATCTGGATCACACACACACACACACACACACACACACACACACACACCCTTCACCGCCGCACTAATCAGATATCCAAGGCGTGACTTTGCTTATTAGCAGCAGTGCTGCTGCAATAGTCTTAATCAACACTTTCCCCTCTCACCCTTCGCTCTTGCAGCAGTTTTTTTCCCCCAATTGAACCCACATCATTAGCTGCTCTGTATGTTTTACATTCTCTCTTTTTACATAAGGTTTAATTTTATGTCTGTGCAGCTTCTTTGTTCATTATTTTGTTTGTCTCCACTGTGGAAAGAGGCTGAACAGCAGCTTGTATCGACGGACTGGATTCAAAACACGACGCCACTTAATAAATCATCAGCATCATCATTTTAGCTCTAATTTTAAAATGCTGGCTTCTTAAATTGAGCAGTTATCGGCTCAGCAAGCAGCTTGTTGGGAAAGATAAACTGGTGAAGACGTATATATTCTCGTGAGTTTAGGTTACAGACGAGACAGATCGTAGAAATACTGGTTTGATCTTGTTGCTTCTTTGCTTTTCTCTCAGCAGTCAGAGTGTGATTTGAATCAAGAAAAATCAAATGTTGTGTCCTGTGTGCAGCGCGGCTCGTCCTCGGTGTGTGTTCCACCTCCTCACCTCAATCTTAATGGCCTTGTTAAGTACTGAGTCACCGAACAGAAGGTTTCCTCTCAAACACGCACAATATCTCTTCCTCTTTTGATCACATTCGAGTCGGTGCATTTGCTTTCATTCCCTCATAACTCGAGCGCGTATCGTGCTTTTTAAAAAAGTGTCAGAAGTCACTGCGGTTTTTTAGAGACCAAACGCCTCATGTGACTGTCGGAGAAGCATCTCGCTGCCAGTAAACCAACATTTCCTCTTTCTCTCTCAAACATTAATCACACGATGTTTAAGCTCTCGTCAGCTGAGTCACTCCTTTGCTTTCCAGTTTCGTAACGACTCCTGATAAACTCCCATCATCCGTGTTTACTCCTTTATTCAAATCGCTTCACGCCAGCGTGTTGCAGCATGACTTTAATATCTGTCCTGAACGTTCACTTGCAGAAGTATTGAACGGTGTGAGTGAAGCGCTCCTGGGGCTATTCTGTGCTCGTTATCGTCTTGATGTTCTCTGGAAGGATGTTACTGTTGCATAAGATGCGACACAAACATCATAACTGCTTGGCTCCAGATCAGAGCAGGCAGCCATTACTGTCATCCCGCTGCGGTCACTAAATTACTAAATTTATGTTTGTCTTGTACAAGAGCTAGTTCAGTAACTAACAGATGTGCTCAGATGACTTTGGTTTTTGCCAAAAGGGAATTTACAAATTAAAAACATCACGGGCGTATCCAGAATTTGCATATAGTTGCAGAAGGGAGTCGCTCACTGTCCCTGTGCTCTGATGACAGTAAACTGGAATGTGCTGGCCCAGTTTTGTTGACACCAATACCTGCATCCGATACACGTCTTGTCTCCTGAAATACAGTCGGTTCACCTCACTGTAAAGGGTTCATGGCAATCATTTTTATTTATGACACCGTGAGGTTACATCGCTCAATCAGTATAACTTGAAAGAAGGTGGATTTAATGTGGGTCAGTCACATCCTGCACAATAAGGTTGGTGTTGGTGTCAATGTACGAGGTGCGTCAGAAAAGTTCCAGGACTGGTATCACAAAAGACATATTTCAAATCCAAGCTACCAGTTTTCCCCTCCAAGTAATCCCCCTGGAGTCTAAGGCCCTTCCCCAGCCTGGGGGGAGGACGCATGGGAAAGGGCCAAGAGCAGGATTCGAACTCATGACCTCCACATCGGGACTGTAGCCCTGTACATGGGACGCCAGCTCAACCAGGTGAGCTATAGCGGTGCCCCATCACAGCCATCTTGATGTCGTCCACGTCTTCTAAACGGGTCCCCTTGATGACCCCCTTGAGCTCGGGGAAGAGGAAACAATCCCACAGAGCCAGGTGGGGTGAGTAGGGAGGTTGCTCCAGCACGGAGATGTTCTTCTCAGCCAGGACCTGTGGGATGCTCAGGGCGTTGTGAGCAGGTTGTCATGGTGAAGCAGCCTCCACTGGTCCTGACACAACTCTGAACAAAGCAAACGCTGCAGGATCTCTTTGTAGACGTGCTGGTTGATCGTCTGAAGGGGAAAACTCCTGGTTTGGGTTTGAAATCTATCTTGTGTGACACCAGTCCTGAAACTTTTCTGACACACCTCGTAGATCCAATACAGTGATTTATTTAACATAGAGGTGACTGATGCTGGATGTTTTAGATCGATATTAACATTTGAAAGTAAGACTGATATTTTTTACATATGATGCCTTAACCCTCTGAATCCATAAACCGACTAGCAGGCTTTAAAAGGTTACCGTTTTCAAAGTGTACACAACTTAGCAAAGCCAGAAACTCTAAAAACACGAAGAATC